CTTCAACGTCAGGAGGAGGCCAAATTGGTTCAGCCTTTCAGGGCTCCTGAAGCCTTTATCTCAAGCTGGCTTCTTCGAGTTATACCCCTTTTTAGCGGTATAATTACATAGGTGATTATTGAAAATTCTCCACGCTGATTAGTTGCCGTTGAGGTGAATATAACGCGATAATCACCTAAGCGATTTTCGAAATGGCGGCCGAACCGGTTTTGTCAATTAAATGACGACGAAATGTGTATTTTTTATTCAGTTTTTCCAAATAATAACCTATCAAATTATACTAAAACAATTATTCATCTCGATGATTATCGAGGTTTTTACCTCGACTTTGGCTGGGTTTTTATTCACCGATAATCACCTCGCCTTCGGCGAATAATTGTTAAATACTGCCCCCCCCCACTCAAACTGGCGGTAAATACCCACCCTGTAGCATGAGACCGCCGAGATTTTGCATGGGGCTCTGGATTTCTTTTCGAGAGATGATTTCCCTATTCCATCTGGCTCACTGTTTTATGCCAGTTGAGAATTTAAGGTGTATCATAATCACCAGCACTGTTTCTGTTGTTTTAAAAACTAAGTCAGATATAATAATCCATTCGTTCGAACTTTGTCTTTGTTAAGTAAATTTTATTCACAATATTATTAGTAAGAATATTAGTATCTTTCTACATTTCATAATTAGAGAATTAAGATGAATTTCTGCTATTAATTTGAGCTTTGCTTCGAGCAGTTTTGTTCAATGTAAAAAATTATCATAAATACATCTGTTATAATGTCTGAGTGCTTTGAGCACTATATGTTGTAATAATATTCTAGAGTGGGGGGAAGGGAGGAGAGATATCAGACACTCGTGCCACAATTTATTTTACTTGTATTTCCTCCTAGCATAGACAAGTGTCTGTTTCATCAATAGCGACGCCATATTGAACCGTGATGCATTGTGGTTATTCAAGGTAAAAAGCCAAAGTTTGAAAGACAAAGATATGTCGACTTCGCCTGCTCTTTTGCGGGCACTAGAAAATTTCATGTTTTTTAAGACTTTGCTCTGCAGACACAAATTGAATTTCGTCAAACACCTTTTAACTGTTATCGCAGCCGATTTAAATAGGCAAAGAACTGGGGGTTTTTATGACCGACATTTCACCATGTTTTTTATAATGCGAATTGTTCAAACCTTTAGAAACGTATGTTATGTTTGGATAGTCTTATTAGCGTAGACGTCATGACTAGTTGCCTTCGCCACTGGTAAACGTATAGTACAGATCAATTTCTCGAGTATCAATTTGCATTTATTGCACATTTAGCGTTAAAAATTCTAACTTTTGCGCCCATTCATTCACTATATAGTTCCCAACTTTTGTTCTTATTTTGAAAACCTATCTATTATTTTTAACAAAAACACATTCATTTTAGTTCATGTATTTGCTTTATCATACTTTAGGAACCTTCAGTATAAACCTGAATAGACCACAACGCATTGCAGTTTCAATACGGTGTTGTTACTGAGGAAAAAAAGCCTCAGAAATAATCTACACTTCCATATTTTTGTCTCTTCAGTAAAGTTTAAAACTTTATCTTTGCATATTCACTGATGTACTGCAGCATCTTGGATGCCATTCTAATCTACTACACAAGTTTGTGTTTCTGCTAAGTGGCGGACCATGAGAAAAGTGATGGGGGGGGGGGGACTTTTTAACATGTACGAACATTTTAAATTTTTGCTTGTGTCAATAATTTTTTTAAATATAATCCCTTGCACGAATTTTTTTAATTTCAACTTATAATTTTCCCTATTGAAAAGCCTCTGCATGAATTTTTTTTTTTTTCAAACTTTCTTGGTGCACGAATTTGTTTTTCTTTCCGTTTCCCCTGCGCTGTTTTTTTTTTATCTTCCCCCTTCCCCCCATCACTTTTCCAATGGTCCGCCCCTCATCATAGTTGCATCACATACATTGTTTATGTGAATCAGATTGCGTATTGGCTCAATAAATAGAGAGGTTAAGATTACTTAAGTTAACCCTGGTTCCGGTTCACTCGGCCACGAGTATCGCCATTTTGTTTACTAATTTTTCTTCATATCAGCATGTCTACCCGTAATTTCTAATTCGTAACCATGGTCCACACGTAAAGGACAAACGGGCACGGCTGTTTTCCGTTTATCAATGCACATATGCTAGTCCGTTTTTTCCAAATCTATGCCTATTGTGAACTTCGACCACAAAAGTTACTATTTTCCGATCGGGTTTTTTCTTACCTGGAATATCTTGGATTTCTTACAGTTGATTTCACATAACTTTTCCGTGAATGTTGCGAACTTCGTTCGGAACTTCGGTGTGAAGTTCAAAAGTTCATACTGAAATTCACAAGCCGGTTTGTAAACAAAGCCTCTGATTGGTCCCTGAACAAAAATAAGCCAGTCAGAGGCTTTGTTTACAAACCGGCTTGTGAATTTCAGTATGAACTTTTGAACTTCATAACGAAGTTCGGAACGAAGTTCGCAACATTCACGGAAGTTATGTGAAATCAACTGTAAGTCGTACCCAGTTTACGGGTGCGGGTACATGTATATCACCCGTACCCGGCGTAAACCGGAACCGCGGGGTATCTTAACCTCGACGGAATATCCACCCAATGCCTATGGTACGAGCTATCGAAGCGGTCGGATAAAACTGACGCGGTATTTATACTGGGAATGGTTCTACTGGAACAAATTGTGCATAATATCTCGTTCAGATGGATTATCCATCTTTAGTATTGGGGGTTAAACCAATCTGGAGTTCAAATACTCTTTGAATTCGAGCCCAGTCTTCTGAAATCTCTCTGTGGTTTATACCATTATTAAGATGGACCAGCCACCTCGATATTTCTAATCTTCAATGTTTTGTGGATGTGTTTTAACTTCTTGAGCCAAATAATGTCGTTAGTGCTAACGCGGCGTCGATTTCTCTGTTTGTCGTGTTATCATTTTGTGATTCGTGCGACCTTTTGGTAAAAGAAAAACAACATTAACTTCTATGTAAAAACTTTACGTCTGGGGGCAAAACTTCTAATGAGTCTGTCACGTGCACCGTAACATTTCGGGGATGGGTACATGTGATTTAAAAATATTTAAGATTTTATGAAATTTCTTGGGGTTTTTTTAAATTTTATTTCAAACTTTATAACAAATTATTCTTAGCTTAAATGCTTATTTTAAGAAAATAAACTCTTAGTAAGATTTTTGTTCTTGCGCAGGATTCTTACCAAGAAAAAGTTTCTCATTATACTGACAAGAACAAATTTGCTAAGTAATTTCAACTCGTGAAAACCGACAAAGCCATGGAAACGACATTTTTCATTACCTGTCTGGTGTTTTGTCGATATAAATTTTTTCTTCGCTTGGCGGACAAGGAGACGGACTCCGTGATTTTCTTCGCGTTTCCTGTAGCTCCTGTTCCATTGATTGGGCCAGCCGTTCTAAAATGAAGAGATATCTAATTGCTTAGCTGATTTGATAGCAGACATATTCCACCTGCGTGGTTGTCGCAAATTTCTTTATTATTTTACCAAGAGATCTTTGAGTAATTTGAAGATTTCTACACAGGTTCCCTCCTCAGACTTGGTATGAAAATATCTCTGTATTCATTTAATAAATTTGACAAGAAATAAAATATCACTGCAATAAATTGACAAGAAATATTAAATATCACTGTAAAAAATAAATTTGAATTTACATGAAGTTCCAATGATGTCATCCTCTTCTGCGCCCGCGCTCCAAGCTCTGCGGTACTTGTTGTAAAGTATTACTTGTCAAGTATATTTTTATTCAGCGATATTTTCATACTAAGTGTGAGTTACAGTGATATTATTTATTTCTTGTCAATTTATTACAGTGGTATTTTATTTCTTGTCAAATTTAAATGAATGCAGCGATATTTTCATACCAAGTCTGAGGCGGGCACCCTGTGATTCCTATCTATAATTGTCCCAGACTGTCTAATATTTTGTTTAGATATTGTGGGCACGTTGTTTTTCTATGATAACTGTCTTATCCGAAATATCGTACACATATTTTAAAGATGTCAATGGAGCCGACTACAACGGCAATGCTGTTATTTCCATGGCTGCAGAAGTTCTGGAGCCATAGAGTACCGCTACCTCTATAGTCTGAAGAGCCAACACCAAATTCAAATTGTGTGTTAAACGTGCCAGAATAACAACTACTCCTCCCACGCCTATCTTACAAATTGGAGAAAACAACAATTTATATATCACTCACTCGTTACCTATTCATCTTAAACAACTCAGATCTACTAATTTTCAACTCTTAAAAACCAAACTAAAACATTTTATCTAATTGAGCTGAACTTTTTCCATCTACAATTAAGTATACCCTAAATACTTTATAATTTTAATATAAGCATAATGTTGTTTAACATATACATAAATATATATATTGCCTGAAAAACACTTCGGTAAGTGGAGCATCCATAATAAATAGTATTATTAAATCAACAGGCATGGCTGTTTCTAATGCATATACTTTTGTATTATGATTAAATTTTGCTTTTCGGGTGGGTGATTGATTGGTTGGTTGGTTAAGCAAAAGATTTATACCATAATGCGTTAGAAACCCTGAGTTATTACTCACTTCCGGCTCATTTTGAACACAATAGTACTTCCATATACTGCCGGCGGAACATCCGTTACCGGCGTTTCTATTGTAAGTGTATAAGTGGGGGGTGCTAATCATGCAGCTGAGAGCTAAGCTGAATTGTGAAAGACGTAGCTCAACCTGATACCTTATATGATTCATGTCTAATCCAACCCACCCTATTGACATTGCCTGTGGGCGGAAACCGGAGTACCGGAGAAAAAACCCATGACTTTCGGTAGAGTGTTGCCCATTGAACTATAAATAAACTGGAAGGCTAACTGCTATGATGAAGGCCTATGATTTGATGAAGCCAAAATAGTTTTTCTGAGTTATGAGCAGAAATACTTGACCCCAAACGTTCGGCTATATATCAAAATGAAGCTATTGAAAATTGCTATTCGGTGTGGAAATTTCAAGATTTCAGCGAAAAGAAAAATATTTAAAAAATACAAAAACAACTGCAAAATGGCAAATTATCGGTAATTATGTTTGTAGTTTTTCAATATTTCCCTTTTAGCTAAAGTCTTGAAATTTCTACACCAAATAGCGTTTTTCAAGAGCTTCAATTTGATATATAGCCCAACGTTCAGTGTTGAGTATTTCTGCTCATAACTCAGAAAAACTAAAATGCACTGGCTTCAATTTCCCCCCCTGAGTTAGCCTTCCAGTTTATTTATAGTTCAATGGTGTTGCCAGACTCTTTTCATAACGAGGTGAAAGGCCGCCCCTTGACGATTGCGCCACTGAAGCACCTCGTTTGTCCAACATTACTACACAACCTCGTTCCCAGGGTCTTTCTTACTACACTGAAGCATAGATATCTTATATAAACTAGATAGCGCATCTCTTTTAGTAAAATTGAAGCCAAGAATATTCCAGCGGTTACCCCCATTTGAATAGATGGCGGCCATGTTGGAGTTTCCCACTTGCTAATAAACGCTTAAAAAACAACAATAACTTTCATCATTTGAATAGTTTGAAAATGTATTTGGAATAGATTTAACTTAATGTTTAGGTTCCCTGTGTAAGAAATAGAAAACATACGAGTCTTCTCATTTCATGGGAATATCCTGAGTCTGCAATCACGGCTTCAATTTTTGAATTGCAGAATAATTAGATGCACTATCTAGTGTATATAAGATATCTATGCACTGAAGCCCCTTGCGTAGTTTGTTAACATTATTTTCACACTCTGTAAACTATCTATTTGCCGCCATTGCTGTATACTCCGTGAAATCTGCATTTTGTATAATGCTACACTGTACTCACACGTTTGATAAAAAGCACAAAGTTCGGTTTACCTGTAAGTCTATCAGTTTCACAAGGCGGTGTTTGTGGTGGTGTATCGGGTGCTGCCGCTGTGTTCGTTCTTGTGTTGTCAAAACAACCGTCCACCCATTTCCTTAAACTCTTCACAGGCGAATCTTCGATAGATGAAGTATGCTGTATTCTGCTGTTCTCCGTTTCCACAGGCGACCTTCCTGTAGGCCATATTATTCTCTGCTCGGCAGGACTTGGGAACGGCACGTCTCGATTTCGTTTGTCCGCCTCTGTGGTACTTGAAATTTGGTTCGTGGTGGGTGCAGCGATGGGATGGTGAACGTTGGGTGTGTCTGAAATTACAAAAGAAAATTTCAAAACCAGACGAATTAAATTATGTATCATGTACGAATTATACAACAGGCTAATTATATATTCAGCCTGGCAAAACAAGACAAACATTGATAATTTCTCATCTGATTTTCATCCAAATTTGACCAAAATTTAATCAATTTGTTCTTGGGCAATCTCCATTAGCCCCTCAAATTTTCGTATTAATGTGTTTGATATTTTTTAAGTTATCGTTCTGACTGCAGACAGAGATATGCAGACACATATATACATATATAAGGTAATAAAACAGATCCCCGCATAATTTTTACATCCCTACGAAGTCCGGACAACAAAATAAAATCGGTCATATTTTCAAAACTTTTTTTGTATAAGAACTTAAAACAACTCACAAGGCGGGATTAAAATATTTTCGAAGAATGTTGTCTCAAAAAATTCGGCTTAACATTAATCTTTTGCGAGCAAATAAAAATCACACTAGGGTCAGACAGCGTTAATACTCGACGAAATTAATCCTATTGTGAAATCACCTCGGACATTGTAACGCGTCACCTTTAATCTCCTCAAAGTAAATTACATTCCGATTCCTGTTTATATTTTCCCTGCTTATCGCGCGATTTATATTGGAATATTTCGAGGCGTGGGAAGTTGTAAGACAGTTGGATGCCCGGGCTTTGTTCGTGTGCTCAATTTCGGCCAGATTGTTTGTCTAACTTTTCTAATATGCATTGCAGACTATTTGCAGGTTCTTAACGCGTGTCGGATGTTACAAGTGTAGGCAAACAATTAAGTAGTTTAATACGCTTAACTCCGACAATTTTAAATTCATATTAAAACGACTTGGCATGTCTTAATCCCTTTGGTGTAACAATGCACCAAAGACGCTTTCAAATACCACAACACAAAAGACAACATTTGCGTCGTGTACATAGCAATTAATCACTAAATTTTGCTTTCAAGTTTTTAGACGCTAAGAAAAAAAGTAGAAAGAGAACTCCAAAATACTTTTCTTAAAAGGTTAAATTATAGAGGAAGACGTTTCATAAATCAAACCAAATAACTTCGGATGTAAAAGATCAGGATGATAAATTTAGCTTGAGAATGATAATTTTAAACTTGGACTATTTTAACGTTAATATTTTACGGCCGGCTATTTTGTTGATTATCGTACAATAATCAGCCGATGTTTTAATCGGCTCATCTCTAAAATCCAGTAGGGAACATCCCTTAGTTTTTTGTATATTTTACCTTCGGGTGATTTGATAACCGTGGTCATTCTGAAGGAGTCTTTCTCTTCAGATTTAATGACGTCATCCGTCTTCGTATCCATGTCATCCTCATCATCATCATCACTATATCCCTCACTATCCTTACGTTCTCCACATCTATTCCTAGGTGACCACGTCATTTTGTTTTCTTTCTTTAATCGCCTCCTGGCGTTCGCGAACCAGGTCGAGACCTGAGTCAATGTCATTTTTGTCAAAATTGCTAACATGATTTTTTCGCCTTTTGTCGGATACGGATTCTTACGATGTTCGTAAAGCCAGGCTTTTAAAGTGCTTGTGGTCTCTCGTGTTGCATTTTTGCGTCTTGCACCGGAGTTGAGATCGATTGGTGAAAATCTGTAAGGTAGAATATTTAAGGTTTTCACATTGTCTCCCAGCTATGTTGGGCGAGGGGGGGGGATTCTTATGGGAACATTGCTTCCTAGTCATAAGGGAGCTGGCAAACCAAGGAACCATTCCTATAATCATGTTTCCGGAAGGTAGGTTAACTGTAGGAAACGTTGTTTATATAGAAACGTTGTTCCCCAGCCAATTTTCAAGAAGGCGGGCAACTTGCCCAGTCATTTTTTTCAAAGATTGGCAAACCAAGAAAGATTGTTGCTGTAGCATTTTTCCTAGCCATTTTAATGAAGGTGGTAAACTAGATCAATCCAGGAAAAGAGTGCAGGAAGTTCCTTTATAGGGTGAGGCAGTCTGTATTGAAAATATTGAACTATTCAAGCCAACAGATACTTTCTGTTCGACTTTTTTTTAAAAAGCAAATTTTGATTCAAAGGCCATGGGTCACATACCAACCTTTCTAGAATCGTTTTTTTAAAGACAATATCAATTCAAGTTCCAACATGCATCTACATTCCATATTCAATGAGACAGTGACATATACATAGGTCATGGTGCCATGTAGTACAAGCCAATGCGTGTCTGATATTATCAAGGTTCATTATATATGTTGTTATCATCACATCAAAATTACATATGCATGAGACGCCGCGAAATGCACTTTTCAAAATCTATTCCTAGTACATGGAAATGATAACGCGAGGGTGCATGTATTTTTGAAAAAGCACGTATGAAAGAATCTTGGCATGATATAATGTAAAGCAGCTTTTAGTTCTAATATGTAAGGTAATAAACTAATTTAGGGTAGCTATATGTTCCATATACTAATGCAAATCCAAAGACATCCATTCTCAACTCCCTATAGTTCAAACAAAGTTTGATTTTAACAAAATATTTTATCATGTTGACATATGTTTAAGGCAAGTCTGGCAGTGTCCAATGTCGTGTCAGGAAACGACTTTATGTCATAGCTTTATTTTGACTCGGGGCAACTGGTCGTGTTTTGCATATCCACTAAAGTACAACCTTTCAGACGAACAAAATAACACAAAACCTGTCAACTAGGAAAGGCTTGTTCATGAATTGAAAAAACATTGCTGCTATGCAATCGCAATTTAATAATGTAAGGACTAGGTCGTGATGATAACAGCATCACATTGTAAACATAACATCTGTCTGGATCACATGAAATGCCAATCAACACTCAAGTAGTTTCAAGAATACAAGTATCGCACACTTAAAACGTTTGTCAATATCTGGGTGATAGTACGTCAATGGTGAAATTTTCCCTCGTGTGCAGGCATGCAGCTTTGCGCGTTTTAAAAGCGCACTGTTGCGCTATTTTTAGTATATGTCCAGAACTGATTAACATATTTCACACAACACTGGAAAAATGTTTGTTCTGACTAGGAAATAACAACAAAACGAAAACATTTACACAAGTTCTGATTTTGGAGATTAGATCGGAATTGATTTGGATTGTAAATGATATATCTTGATTAATGGGTGCACACATCTATACTTCGACACGCAGGCGTTTTAGTCCGCATGGAGTTTCTCATGAGGGCCTGATCGCAGGTTACATGAACATTGTTCAAACTGGTTTAATATTTTATTTCAATCTGTATGAATGGCTGTTCAGTATGATATGATTTCATAAGACATACATGTATATGACTTGCTATATTTTTTTTAAGATAAGCTATGGAATGTATATCTTTTGCAAACCTTAATTTAAACTGTAAACCTTCAACTCTAAGCGTGCAAAGCATAATGGGAGCATCATTTAATCAGTTTAGAAATCATATATGGGGCCCACTTCCTAGAGACATGGTAAATATCTCGTTACGAGAACAATTCGTTCACAAATAGCTGAAATATTCAACTACTAAGCTTAGTGAAACTTGTGGTCCCATTAAGCTTTGTTTGAGGTTTAAAGTTTAAGGGTTGCAAAGGACAACCTTTGAATTAGCTGTATAATTATTATATAGTACGACCCTTCTAGACAAAGCCCAAAGGCCTTTTTAATTTATGTATTATAGAATGACTTACGTATTTCCTTGCTACACTCCGTGCAGTTTTTGCAACTTTTGCTGCGATTCAGATGCAATGTATTTCTAATAGATGTGAACGAGTGGATGAGCTAGGTGGGGGTATATATATATATACATAGGAAGAAGTTATTTCGCCGACCTCAGAATGACATTTCGTCAAAACTTTTTTCTTCAAGATTGATTTAGAAACAAACTTGGAGTAGGGCCGTTAATATACTCAGACTCAATCTCAGACCTGCATTCAAAACTCATTTACATGCATCAGAAGCTTGTCAGAAGAAGAAAATCGCAGTAGAAATCGCAAACGAAAGTGTAAACGGGCTTTTACAGATTTTTGAGTTCTGAATTGATCATATATTTGTCAAGAGAGGATTATATGTTTGGACTATATTATACTTCATATAGTATGCATGTCGTATATGCAGACACTTTTACTTTCGTCTATATATGCATGCATTTTTGAATCACAAATCTTTCATACGGTAATATCTAACTTATTATGTACTATGCCTATGGTTAACCAGGCCTAAAAACCGAAAGCATTACAATCGCTACAAAGTATTTCTAGCCATATTCAGTTTATCATTGTTTAAGGTAATTAAGAACAACGCATGAAACAAATACGACAATTCAGTTGACTAGGCCGCACTTCTCATATTAAACGTAATCATGAAATTCCATTTCACATTTGGCAATATATTTCCTCTTCACGATAACAAAGCTCTCTGTCTGACTCTATTTTTTATTTTCCGTCACACGCTTATTAAAATATTCGATAAGTTGAACATAATTAAACTGCGGCAATCTTACTCTTAGACTAACAACATTTTTGCGTCTCCGCCAAAATTCAAGCACAGACTGGCACAGCTCTAAGGGTCTTTAAAAAGGAGACGACGAACAGTCTCATTTTATGTTTTTTACATCCGGACACAATCAAGATTTGGCGAGGCATAAGAGTTGGCATGATTTATTCACAACGGGGTTCGCTTTTACCGTCTTATACTGTTATTATCAGTGACGTGCAGCAACGAGGGTTCTATATAATCATCCATACATTTGATAGGCTTGATAGGTCTGCATACAGTTGTTGCCAATTTTTTTATAGGTTTGTCAACATTATTTTCTTGTTTAAAATAATGGCTATAAATTCTGTGACAACCAGTTTATATAAATATTATATACTGCACTGTTGTCTGTATAGCAATTAAGACTTTTCAAAAAATCTTCAGTGCGCGCAAAGATTGAAATTTGAATACTGAAAAATCATGCAACTGCAAGTATTTATACTTGCAACTACAAGTAATCACGTGAAGTAATATACAGTCCTAGAGAGGAAAATAAATCGTGCACAGCTTCTACACCGTTAAAAAAAGTTTGACAAAGCTCCGAACATAGAAAAATTCTTGCAAGGAAAATATCTCATCCCCCCCCCCCCCATGCAGGATTTCTAATGGTCCACCCCTTCGTTACCATATTTTAGACCTATGGTATATAGTTACGTTGTTTAGATCTTTATTAGGCTTAATTTAGTTTATTAAAACATTTAAAAGACCGCCAATTTATTAGATTATTTCTTAAATGTCTTGGCTTTATACGCCATTATATACTGTAGCTCGTCCAGGCTTTTTTAACTTTGCCAAATTAAAGTTCATTGTCTTAGATTTAGTCTGATATAAGCTCAACGTTTTACATCAGAGAGAAGTAAATGTAATAAAAAACGACAAATGAAAACAACTTTACTTAATTTAAGTATATATACGATAGTATCATTGAAAACAGCAATTTATAATTTAATTGGAACATTTTAAGTTTTAATTGTGTTTTGAAGCGGTTCTGCTTTTTAGATAATATGTTTTGTCTTATCATGAAGCTGACATATTAAAGAAAGCCAAAGCAAGATAAACAACAACTTTTTTCTATTATCGATGTATCTTTCTTGACGTAAAGATCGTATTTACAACTCACTTTGTTTTGGCTGTAGTTTTAATTTGTAAAAGGTTTTCTGTAGAATATTAGCACAGCTGCCTAAAAGTTTTTTTTTAAATTGCCAGTATACCAAATTCTGCATTTTTGTCAACGAATAATAATGATAAAAGCCACAGCTATTTCTTTTGTTATTTGATCTAGAGTTTTAGAGCAACGTCATATAAAATGCAATGGAGATTACCAAATATTTTATATTCGTAATTATTAATGGTTAATGTTTTTTCAGTGTTTATACTTCCAACAATGCAGGTTTTTTTAAATACTTTAACGGCTTTTCCGAGCATTGCCCATTGGGAAAATGTACTTACAAAACCGCGCGAAAAGTCCTGGAACCGATGTTGTGAAACCATCTTGGGAAATGTTTGAGTAGTTAATTTGTATAACATTTCAATAGCATCACCTTCTTGTACAATAGAATTTTTAAAGCCATGCGAGACTTGACCTGTATGAGCTTTGCTTTACAGCCTTTACTCTTTAGCCTACAACTTGGTAGTATAAACAAACTTTGACCTCGCCTGGCCTGGCCTGCAGAAATTCAGGGCCCAGTGCGATCGTTGGCCTATAGAGCTCAGTGGCCTGAGCCAGGCCTTGTGGCAATGTAAACAGTGTATTGGGTACCACAGCTACCTTGGCTTGGCTTGGCTCAGGCCAAGAATAGTTCCCAGTGTCAAACTTACCTATCACCATACGCATGACAAGCGAGGTAACCACGTTCGAAGCCATTTTGATGATCAGCGTATCTTGCGGGGTTTACAAACCATGCTGAGTTCAGACCTCCTGTATTCATATCTTTGACATTATGTCTCAGCTGTGTCAAACAAAACAACATAATCACATATGGTAATCGCTTCTAGAAAGGTCTTTGCATGGAGACACTTCAAAGCTAGGGGTTACAGTAGACCTCTTGTGGACTGTCTTAATCAGAAGAGCTCCTTTTCGTAGGGTACTTGACGAAACTATACCCCCTCGACTATAAATATATTGCTTTGCCCTTGAGAAAAGACAGTAGAAAAACATGATTATAATGACGAATTCTGTACAGTTTAAACTGTCTATATAGCGTCTTAATAGAATTGTAAATAGTATACTAAGTAGACATTCAATTTCAAAGAGTGCTTATACTATGAGGTCAGGCATAAATTTATAACAAAGTCAGTAAATAAATCTCTTGCCTTGAAAAACACGCTTTACGTCTTACGATGAATTACGTAATATAGATAAGCCAAAATAGAATCCAAATAGTTTTAGTAAAGCTTATAAGATATTACGTTGAATTTCACATATAATCTCACATGTGAAAATGCCTTCTGCTTCTCACATGTAAAGACTACAGTGTTTCAATTCCACATATCAAATATGAAATAATTTCACAAGTGAAAGCAGTGAATCTTCAAATGATTATGATCCTTTAATTTCACATATTAAAAAATATGTGAACTTCAAATTTCATATGTGAAAATTCTAAATTTCACGTAGCTAGGAAATAAACATTTTCACATGTGAAACTCCAATTTCGTTTGTGAAATTATTTGTGAATTTTCCGTAAGAGATATATTTTTTAATTTAAGTCAAAATTATATATTATAGCTGAGCCAAACACCCATAACACTGATATAGTCGTAACAGAGATTTCTTTCGTGCTTTGGAATGCTTCGAGTAACGTCGACCTAATATAGACTAAAAGTTTTAAAAGATTAGGTAACTGACTCGAGTTTTTCGCTGCATTCTTGAGAGTTGAGTTAAGCGAAATCTAGCATTATATATGGTATCGAGCACTATAGTTGAGCTCTCTCTAGCCATTCTAATAATTTACGAAAAACTGTATTTATGATGAGGAATGCAAGGGTATATGCATGCAAATCGTTTGGTTCATGCATGTGAATCCAACTCGGTCCAAAGTCGAAATTTCCGACAAGTGTACATGATGAACTTTATCGTTGGATCGGTCATAATTAAAACAGTCGAAATTAACGTATGTAGACGTCGATCTTCACATGAACTTGACTGTTGAAATTAAGATCCGTTTGGGGTTTATGTGAACTTCTGATTGTATGCATGCATGTGGATCATGAGTCTGCAGTCCATGTACAGGTGCAACTTGCTACGGCGCTTGAGGCTGTACATATTTAGTGCAACTTCGCTGACTTTGTGACTCGGTGTGATTCACTTTTGCTATACTGCATGGGCAGTTCGTACACATGATAATGTACTGTTGAGCAGTTTTGGACGAGCAATTCACATAGTCAGGGGCACAGAAGTGACCACATATAACTATTAAAAACAATGACATTTAGATATTTGTGCACGACACATATAGAATCTGAAATTAACGGCTGTGACCAATTTTGCATGCCCATGCATATGTCAACTTCGTTTGACATGAGTTCGTTTGATTGTACATGTACAACTTTCAAGTTTTTATTGACAGCCATACACAAAAAACATTTTCTTCAAACAAGGACAAATTCTTCTTCTCAAAACAGATCTAACTGCAAAGACAAATTGTGAAAGAAAAACAAGGGTGGGTAGTAGCGAAGTAGTTGTAGTTCGCTACTGTAGCGAACTACAATTTTCAAAATTGTTAGCAACCTGATAGAAGAGAGCCATGATATTGAAACACAGTTTGCTTAAAATCAGTACTCAATAGTCAAGTTGCACTCCTGAACACTGTAGTGCTTACAAAAATGTTGCTTTGTGTTTACTGTTGGCTGTTGCTACTCGCAAGTCGATTTGTTATAGATTACATTACAGCCTGAGTTAGTAGATGCTCCAAATATAGTAAAACTAAAAAAATATAGTGTAGCGAAATAGCGAAATAGTTCGCTACATTTTTTAAGCAGTAGCTGTAGTCAGTAGCGAACTTCCTTTGTTCAAAAGTAGCAATAGTTGTAGCTGACTACATATTTTTGAAGTAGCTGTAGTTATAGCGAACTACAAAAATTTTGTAGTCAACCCACCCTTGATTAGAAAAACATGTCAAGGCCGGATAACTTCTCGCGCGTTTGGGCTGTATCCAAGTGTTCTTCTGAATCTTCTGCAGTGTGTCAGAGAAATAGATGAGTAAAAGGCTTACTTTATAATAAATTGCGTCACCATACAGTACGTTTAGTTCGACGCAAAGCAAATGCTATTTGTCAATTTGACTTAAAATTGTTCGTTTGAATGAGGTTTACACCGTCACCTTGCCCAATTGTCCTTGGTAAATTAAAATTTGCTGGTATACTTGCAACCATCTCTACTGAGTTCGTGCTGATCAGTTGACAAATGTGCATCGCATTTTCGACAGGAGTGCAACTACAAGTGTAGGCTATAAAATTACATCTTTGTCTAGTGAAGGTATTCTGTTGGACATTGCACTTTACACAAACATACATTTACTGCAACATGTATGTAATACAGACTTTGAGAATCAGTGCAAGAGTCAAGACTCGTCGCTTTTTTTTTAACTCAAATTAACACAAATTCATGCTGTAATGTTCAACTCGAATATGACGGAATTTTTGTACAATACATATACACAGTAAAGTTAGCTGCTCTAATCGAGGTTTTATTTCCAAAAGCCTTTCAACTTGGTGGACTATATCTTTTTTTAAAGTTCTTTTTGACTAGCGAAGTTTAAAGTTCATCACGTTTGTCACAATTATGTCATAGACCTTTTATCTCTAATTATCTAATATATTACTGAAGTCTGTTCTGTTGTAAATTATGATGTTTAAACTATATTACATGTAGACATGATAACTTTAAGAAAGAATGTCTGGAAATTTGGCTCGAGGCAAAAATGTTTATGAATTGTTATTTAGTCCAAACCTGCATAGTTGAACAGCTGTATAATATATATAAATATATGGTAGAAATTTGACAAAAGTCAAAGCACCGTGCCAAGATGCTTATCTAACTTGCATGTTTTTAATTCAGTGTGTACAAAAGCTCCAGTCTTTTGGCTTTCATTGATATACAAAGGCGTTTTGTTGTAAAACGGGTGGCATTTTGTACAGACATCATAATTTTTGGCTCAAGATTGTAAAATAGATATTAATGTCTTTATTCAATTCGAAGTTGTATAATTGATACTTTAACATATTATATAACGTTCTTAATTTCAGTTTACAGAAGATAGACGTTTTGCTGATGAATGTACTCGTATATAGTTTAGAACTTGTATTTCAGAATTAAATTCGTATACAAAGATATTATCGATTTTACAACTCACATGAACAACGATTCGTCTATAGACTATAGTATACAAAAATTTTTTTCATTAAATTTGTGCGGCTTGTAGACAAAATATTTTTTACCAAGGAAAGATAAAAATCTGCGTCGAACCAATATTGTAGAGTTTAGGGCTTACTGAATTTAACTTAAGATTCACAGTAATTTACTAGCTTTATTTTGCGCTCCATTCTAATATGAATAGCTAACATACATTTCATGCATGTGTGCCGTGCGGCGATATCGACATACACGAATTGTCGTGTAGTAGTTGGCAGAAATATCGTACTGGCTTCCGTATACAATGAGACTGAAAAAATAGAAATTTGGCTCGAACGTTTCAAAATTTAGTTGATGCCTATTTAAATATGTACTCATTTATATTCTTTTATAAACGGCTAAGAATACTAAATTTGTGACATACGATCGACTGTTTAATAAAATTGATACAGTCAGGGGACTTTTCAACCAGAATAAAAATTTGACTCCAAGCAATATTATTGCATTTACGGAATACGATTTATGAATGTTTGCTTTGTATCCAATCATATATATTCTGTTATAAATAGTTATATTTCATGGTAAATTTTTAAGAGTATTTTTCGCCAAGCCAAGGGTATCGAATTTGACTCGAAGCAATAGTTGCATTTTGTATTTAGACACATAACAGTGTATATTCTGTTACAAGGCCTGTTTACACTTGCAAATTTTGCTTGTGATTTCTGATGTGATTTTCTCTGACAGATCAGATGTGAATGAGTATAGACGTGTCATGAAAATTCTGAGTATATGTACCCCCATCTGAACATTCGTGTCTCATCCACTCATTCCAATCCTTTAGAAGAAACTCGCACCTAAAATTGCAATTGTAAACGGCCCTTAATAAATCCCAGTGATACAGTATATTATCCGATATCATATGATAGAATAGTTGCATGTATGCACACAGTTTCACGTCCTTTTTCACTAAGGATCGGAATTCGGCTTGGAGTTGGAAACAATATTACGAAATATAGTATATGCATTAGCTACTTTAAATACTCTATATGGTAAAATTGTCGCAGTGTGCTATAGACAAGCTAATTTTTGGAAAGAATAGAAATTTTATAGCAGCAAGCAATATCATTTGTCACTGCAAATCAAATTCTAATATAGTTCTCAGCTTCATCGGTCACTTACCAAGGGCGAGAACGCGACAGCACTCGAATCTCGTGGTCCAAATATAAGATTTGGCTCTGCCGGAAAGCTTGGTGTAGCACGAGGCAACAGGCCCAGTGGCACAGTGTTCATCTTCTGTTGAGCTTGTAAAACCTGTTCCAATTGACACGAACAAACTCGCGGAGCGTGAGGTGAATGAGGAGTTAGCGGCCCCGTTGCACTCTCGCAGCAATTATGGTGGCCAGGCATAAGAAACTGTTGAAAATAATCAAAGGCTACCGATTAGTGCCATTTGGTATGCGAAAAGACGCATTGGTGGCAAATAATTGTTTCGTAGAAAAATCTAACACCGTATTGTCAACAGTGTCGATCTGATTCCCGTATCATGGATTTGAGTCTATATTTTACTCAATGATCACATTTTAAGTCTATCAAAATTTTAGCGCATAAGAATAGTTTTGAAGTGTAATTAATAACGCTTGATTTACAAAATATAATGCGCTCAAATTTATTAAGGTTTGTGATTTTGCAAAGTTACTTTTATTCTATTAAAGTATTGGTGCGATCTTAAGCCATCTCTTCCTTGTTAAAATGGCATCTTTTATATACCTATATTTACAGAGTGGGGATATCCTATAGACATTCAGCTAAAGGAAGTGCCGTCTGAACAGTCAATTTTTCCTATGTCTAAAATTCACCGCTGCGTGTGTTATAATATAAGGGTAATTTTGACACCTATTATATAGCTTCAATTCACCCAGAATTGCGCGCATTCGCGCACACTGGACCAACACATAGCATATCTGCTTGAAATTTGAAGTATAAAAATAAAGTATACTGAGATTTAAATACCTGCGATGCGTACGGAAATCCAAAACTCGCCGTGATGCCAGCCATCATTTGTATAAGCCTTGTATCGTTTCACGGATAGACTCGTTATTATTGAACCCACTAATATACCACACTTTTTAAATCAATTATAAGATTCTTCTTTGAGACTTCGCAATACCGCCGTTGTGTTGTATTAGGATTGTGTAGACGGTTGTAACTCCCCCTGCTTCACTGCTATGCGAAAACAACGCTGAACAGACGCCTGTGTGTGTATATTACTGTCTAAGACGTTACGAGGGCGCAGCGGCCAGCCGGCGTGGATCGTCTCTTAACGGATGTTTAACCGAGTAGTGTGATATCTTGTTGAATCACAAGCACGTCGCGGTCATTTCTGACACATTTTGACATGTTTTCTGCCAATAGCAGCAATCGAATTAAGCCCCGAACAAGTTGACTATTGAAAACGCGACAACGTGATTGACAGGCGATGAGTTGTTAACTGGAGTAACATTTATTATTGTCTGGGTGCGCATAAAAATAGACATTGTTTGACAACATTTCTCCGCCTATCTGGGTGCTTTCGACCCAGCGCGCTCCTCCTATCTGGGTACGTTCGTGTATGTTTTGACTTTGTTTTTCCATGAAGCTGAGCAAATGAAACCACGGCCTATAACATTCTATTTACTTTAATACATGAGAAGATATTAAACATTACATGGGATGTTATTATGTCACAGACAAAATGCTTTGTCTGCGCGCAAACGGTTGAGTGCTTCAAGATGTTTTTTTACATTCAACTACAACTATCTTATCTTATGTAACCTTAATGACTTCAACTTTAAGCTAGTTCTCTCTCATTGTTTTAGAAATGCTAAAATTAATATCTCTTCTGTCGCGAATTCATCAAATCAACACAATCTAGCCGTCCTAATCAATTCACATCTTTATGTAAGAATTAAGCATAGTATTTGCGTAAGTCTGGAATTGAAAATTATATAACCCACTGTCCTTTATGATACCCATATTCGGTTTTTGAATTGCTACATACAATTTAAGAATTGTTACAATGACACTGTCTTTTATGTGTTGCACTGTAATTTCCCATGCCGTAGTAGCATTTCACTCACCGATTGCCTTCAGTAAATGTATACTTCAGCTGGGCTCATAAAATTTTCATAGGACCTGCATTTTGACACAAAACTGTTTTAAAATGTGAAATACAAACATCAGCCGGCATTGTGGTGTAAACGAACCAAATGATACGGAATCGTGGCGTCGGCCACAATCGATTTGCGCCTAACTTGTGGTGAATTAAGCCCTTTTAAGCGAATACAAAATGAAACGAAACACTCGACTAAAATCTTTTGTCTTCCAGCCACGTTTGAGTGGAGGAAATTTACGTGTAATTCTCGAGCATTATGAGTGTTAATAGCATGTTTTGATTTGTGTTTGTGTGCAATTTTAATGTCCGCGTTCTAATTTACATTCGGCACTCTTTTCTCATGTGACCAGAAGACATAATATTTTTCCGGGTGGCCACTCTCATTTCAAGAGTGCAGGAAATCCTAGGCATTGGGACTCTTCTGAGTTCTGAGACAACGCTGGCTTGTATTATGAAGTATATACGCTTTCGCGACAGTCGGGTTATCTTTTTACGTAGGTGTAAAAGCCCTATATACTAAGTGGTTTTTCCTTCCCGTATTTAACTATTGTTCTAGCAATTCATTTCGAAACAAATAACTCTCGTAATAAAAGCAAAAGCAAATTAACGTTGATATCTATCAAGTATTTTGTTTGTATATTTGTTAAGGATAAACGGCTAATTCGTCTTTATTGAATGCTATTTATATTGTTACTCTTTGTAACTGTTGCATGCCATCGCTGCTGTGCAGCAACCCTGTCGATAGCACGTCTGTCTTGAACTCGTGAATGCCACATCATAAAGCTGCATTTCATCCGCTTTAAAATGATCTTCAAACTTTTCTTGGCCTGTGATTTGGCAGCCCTAGTGTAATCTTGTCGAACGGATTTGACACCGGAAAAGTCGATTAGTTCTCCCGATATGTGATAAATAATTAATTAGACAAGATTATTTTTACAACAGTCGGCTAAACTGTTTTTCACTGCAATCTTGGGTGGCCAGGGGTCTAGTTACATGCTAAATTACAGCTTTATATCTATGTGTAAGTTTGGTAACGTTTTTGCGAACGCAAGAAATTCATATATACTAATCTATTAAATGACACAGTTGTGTTGCAATCTAAGGCGACACAACTCAAGAGCTTAATAGTTTCCGATGGTGTTTGGCAGGGACTCTTTAAGGCGTCTGACGAGTGCCAAGGAGATTGTATAAACTTGTTGTTGTTCTTTTTTAATCCTCCATAATTATCATTTTGTGCGATGTCCATTGTTTTGCGCACTTTCGTATACCGTCATCGTTTGCGTCATTAGCACCTTTGTATATTTTGCGATTCCGTCATACACGAAAAATGTGGAAATTAGATGATAATGGAGAGAATTACATCTTCTATCTGTATTAATCATATTGAAACGAATCAGCATTTTAATATGATTGGTTTGTAAACGTCAACAATGTCAATGATTTGTCCCTCGTGATCATCGTTAGTGAGGACGGTTATTGTTGATAATGGTGAACAACTGTCGGTGCTTATGCATGGTGGTTGGTTGGTCGTTAATCTTTGGTGGGAATAATAATGTTGGACAGACAATCATGGGCTTTGGTGGAGCAACGGTCAGGGCAAGCGCCTTAATTTCACGTCGTGAGATCTGAAAAGAGTCAGTCAACACCCTATACCGCAAGTCGGGGTGCTCGATTTCCTCACACAGGGAATGTTGGCAAGGTGCGTTAAGATTACCCTCTAACTGACCCTTCCACAGTGGCTGCGTGATCAGATAGAAAGCCATCAACTCGATCAGGTTGATTGTTCTTCGCAATTCTTCTTGGCTCTTCGCTGCAAGTAAGGACACATCTTAGCTGCAAGTAAGGACACATCTTCGCTGCAAGTAAGGACACATCTTAGCTGCAAGTAAGGACACATATCTTAGCTGCAAGTAAGGACACATCTTAGCTGCAAGTAAGGACACATCTTAGCTTCAAGTAAGGACTACACATCTTAGCTGCAAGTAAGGACTACACATCTTAGCTGCAGGTAAGGACACATCTTAGCTGCAAGTAAGGACACATTTGGAGCAGTGATTTTACTGGCTCCATTAACATTTGCTTATGTGTTCAGAACCATTAATTAAATAGCTTCGTTCTTTAGAAAACCTTCGTCCAACTAGAAGAGGTCTTTCTGAATTGATGGTATACATACTGTCTCATGTTGGTGGCTTAGTTTGGTTGGTTTTGATTGAATTGCATGGTTGGTTGCGGTTGCCAAAACCATTAAATAGCTTCGTTCTTTAAAAAACCTCCGTCCAACTAGAGGAGACCTTTCTGAACAGATAGTACGCACTGTCTCATGTTGGTGGCGTAGTCTGGTTGGTTCTGAATTGAGTTGGTTGGTTGGTTGCCAAAACCATTAAACAGCTTCGTTCCTTAGAAACTTCCATCCAACTAGAAGAGGTCTTTCTGAACAGATAGTACGTATACTGTCTCATGTTGGCGGATTAGTTTGGTTGGTTCTGATTGAATAGTTGCATGGTTGTTTGCCAAATTACTGGCTATTACATTGACCATTATCTTCAAACCACTTCATGCAGTTTCCTGATTAGTTTTAGTCTCGGTCAATAGTTTAGTTATCTTCATTGTATTTCCGTTACTGAATCATCCTTAAGGCGGATTTCCATTCAGTATGTCGCACGGTCGATATTTTGCGATCGCTTTCTTTTGAAATGTGTGCAGTCAACTGCAGCCAATGACATTTGTTTCGCTTGACTGTTTGTATTTCAAAAGAAAGCGATCGCAAAAAGTCGATTGCGCATCATTTTGCACTGAATGCATGAAATCCGCCCTCAGAAAAGTATCAAGAGAAAGTTTGACTTTTCTCCAAAATTTGAGAGAAAGGTTCATCCGAGTTATCTTCCCTAAGTTACTAAGTTTAGAACGTGATTGATGGTCATTTTTTTGTTTATTTACGCAACTCAGTTGATGTTGTTGCCTAGTTGGTCAGATTTTAGGTTGGTTATAGCTTTTAATTGCCTTCTGATCCGTCAATCAGTTTGTTGTCGAATGACTAATTGATCGATTTTGGTTGGTTCAAGCTTTCGGCTAAATTTGTAACGACGTATAGTTAGTCTGGAACCGCGAAGAAAAATGGGTTGGTAAACAGTTTGAATGAGTAAAAGGGAAACAAAAGAACTCAGGGGGTTGGGTAGTAAATATTTATTGTCATTTCCAATGAATGACTCAATGAACTGATCAGTGAAGACTAAAAAGCAGTGTCAAAAGTCGTGTCAATACAGTATCATGTAAATCAATCAAGAGTCACTATCCTTGTCGTTTTCCGGCGATTTGTCAGAAGGCAAGTGGTGTCTCCGAAGAAACTTCGTGTGCAGACAACATGAAACTTTAGACTGCAGGAAATTGCACAAGCAGTCCGTATCCAGCTCACAGAAATGGTAAAGGACAACTGAATGGTATGAAAGTCTTTTTGCCAACTAGAGATGGTTAAAAAAATTTTGTTACCTTTTAATGTGTTGGATCAGCAAAATTTTTACCAAGAAAAACATTTCTCTTCAGTGCCCCCCCTCCCCGCCATAAATAATGACTGGTTCGTACGTATGGTATGTGATTGCGACCTGTTGATATCATGTCCTCAGTAATGGGTTGTGGAATTTGACCATCACTTTGAAAAGCTTACTGTCTGTCTTTGTAAAATCATGTATGAGGTGCTATAGAAAGCACTCCAAAATTTAACATTTCTGAGTTTCTGACATGAATAGGGAACCTCGTAACTAACTGTACTTTTAAACGCTTTATAACGTATAAGGCAGTCGAATATGTTAATGTTAGTTAATTTGACAATGGCTTTGAAAGCCTTCTATTCAAAACTGACGAACTAATTTTCAATACTCGTCAGTATAGACCGCTAAAACCATTCCAAAATTTATTAGTCGCTGGGCAGAGCCTGCAGCGACTCTAGGTTTCGGCACGCATTTGTGTCGGATCTTGGATCGTTAGCCACAAAATGACAATTACGTCATTAATAAGAAATAAAAATTACGTCATTACTATTCGTCGCTGAATTCAAGATGGCCGCTTACTACGAGCGAATGGTATTATCGATTTTGTACATATTTTTTTATTTTTCCGATGAACCTTAAAAGTTTTCCGATGAAACAGACTTTATAAAGCGAAAGTCATTTTATGTGAGTAAACTTGGAGGGCTACAAGCTTGAAATAGAGGACAAAAGTTCACAATTTTCAATTTTACAAAGTTGGAACGGGCCGCAACCTTTGTAAATCGCAACAATAATATTTGCAAACTGCTGTTTATTTGGGTGCTTTTTTTACGGCTGTTGATGCAGATAATCCTGTTACGGATGGGTGGTCAAAAGAACATGGTGTAGCCTAACAAGACCGAAATACAACCACAGTGATCACCATTCATCACTACTTGTGTGAAATTTAAACTTTGCCGCTAGGTGTCAGGCTTTTAAATCTGTAATATTTCAGTCATTTTATGATCAATGTATTGTGTTTCTAACGCCGAACGGGAAAATGTTGGAGCCACAGTAATAGACTCTTTCAAGGTCAAGATGCCATAATGAAACACGAAGTGTAAGGGCTGCAAACACAATGGAAATTCCTACTAGTAAATTTGCAAGATTGTATAAACACAATGGTGAAAACAATAAAGCCTGCTACTGAAATAAAGCCTGCTACTGAGGTCAGTAAAAAGGATTGATGCACATGATTCGTACGCAAAATTCCCATTGGTCAGAAATAAATACAGTAGCTTTGTTTTTAAGGTAATGCCAAATTGTTGTTTATGTAATGATATTCCGTGCTTGTAATTGTACTTTAACTACTTTTGGGCATGTTAATGACTGCCTTTGCTGCAGTCAATAACAGTTATTATTATTATTTAATATGTAATTCCTGGCCATTCGATGAAAATTGGAATATTTAGTTTTGAGATATTGGTGGAAAAGTTGGCCGTTATTGTCGTATTTTAAATTAGCTTTGATAATCTAATGTATCAATTAATTCCAGCAGTTCCCACCCCTGGGCCTTTGCAGCTTTTCCTAATAACGCGGGTGGGGCTATTGCCGATATTTTTTAGCCCTGAGGTGAGGATTTTGACATTTTCCATCATGGGGGATTTCGTAGATTTGCTGGAAAACTGATATTTAATTTGATTGCAAATGGCTTGTGGACATAGCCATTTTCTTCCCAGAAATGGCTAATACCTCGGGGAGATGGGCACTGCTGGAATTGACTGATACGTGATTAACAATCGCCATTTTGATTGGTTGTTATTTTTGTGCATCCCAATCACTGTCCTCTTTTTATTGACTTCAGTAACAGGCTTACCCTGTGGGCAAAGTCCTCTCGTATTTCTTCTCAGCACGAGAGAGACTCTGCAGAACTTGTGTATATTCTTTGTGGAGCCAACAATCCAAAAACTTGGATAATTATGAGTAATTTCAGGTTTGATACCAGTTTTATAGCCGGTTTTGATCCGAACCGGAAACTACTTATTAAATCTTCTTCTGGGAAATAGGCAGTTGCTTAGCAACCTTTGCGCATGCTCAAATGAATTTATACACAAGTTCTGAAGAGTCTCTCTCGCTTCTCCGTGCCGTGCCAAGTAGAAATACGAGAGGACTTTGCTCACAGGGTATAACAGGCTCTATTTCAAGCATCGAGCCTGACACGCAAGCTACCTTCAAAGGGCCTATTTGGCAACTTCTGTTGTGGTTACCCAGCCTGAGGCAAAAGTAATAAATTTTGAATTGTTATAAATGTTCTGTGAAGTGCACATATTTTTCCTGCAGTTAGGGACCAGTCCTTATTTATGGAAGAGGGAGGGGGAGGCAAAAGGTGGGGCCATGACCCCATGAGTATAAATAATTTACTAGAAGGGGGGGGTGGCATTAAATTTTTTGAGAAAATCAGTTGAAGGGTCAAAATGTGGAGTTGCAATAAATTTGTTTAAGCCTGGTTTCCAGTGTCCTCGAAGTTGGCCTAAGCCAGATAAATCCAATAAATGATATCAACCTCATACCCAGGGCTTCTGCGCTTATACACTGCTCTCAGAAGAGAGAGCAATAAGCGCAGAAGCCCTGCGCAGAAGACCTTATTTTAATAGCCCCAGCGACTAAACGCTCAACAGAGCGTCTTGTTATATTTGTAAAAACGTTTCTGAGAACGATTTAAGACTAAAGAAATGTAAGCGGTTGATTGTCAAGCAATTGGTAATGGTTTGGTTAATTTGACAATAACTTTGAAAGACAATGGCGTTACAGTCTTCGAAACTAACTGCTTTCCTTTCTAGCGCATAGCTAAAGCTCATAGAAAAGGCTAAAAACACTCCAAAATATATCGTAGTCTGTGAAGTTGGTTGTATGTATTATGAAAATAAACTAAGAATGAATAAAATTAGTTTGGAACATGTTGTTTTGAAATTAATCAAACTGCAATTATACCTCATGGCTGTATAGATTATTATTAGAAAAATGTATTAAATATTTAAAATGACAGATTCTTCTTCTACCTCAATCCTCGGATTATCATTAGAAGTATTAATCTATTAATTCGAAATGTCAAACTCTATTAGTCTATTTCTACCAAAGATTATTATTATTAGAAGTACATTCATTAATTAATTCAAAATGTCTGCCATTGATTGAGAATGAATTTTAGACATGCGCTCGCCTACAGTTGATTGACGTACAAGGAAGGTGACCTTGTAAGTTCTAATACCACAATGTTGTTTGAGCAATTCATACATCAATGTTTCCTTTTCGACACTCGCGTTGCCGACAACCCCTCTCGGCTAACAAAATAATCTAATTGACGAAAAAGGGAATATTAGTCAAATTTCGCTTGATGATATCATCGTTTTACAAACAAATTGTCGTCTATGAATAGGACAGGTATTTGCGTATCCCGTTTTTTATCCGTATGTATAAGCGCGAAAAATTTTAATCCATTTAAATATTATTTATGCAGTAATTGAATAAATGGAAAGACATGGAGGATTTAGTTATTTTATGATGTGTATTTGTTGAAGTAATTAGTTCTTTATAGAAAACCTACATGCCCGTATATGTGGATCAAACGAGTCGTTGACTGGGTATAAGCGGAATTTTCGTGAGAAAAATTTAAAACAAGAAACTTCGTGTTCAAAGAGAAAAAACCCGCTAGATTTTGATAAACAAAAAAAATTATATCCATTGTGTCCCTGTTTATGAGATTGACTTTCCGTTCAAAACTGCCCACAGAATGTAGGAAAGTAGCCTTTCTAAGTCATGGAAATCAAACATTTACTGAGCCCTAGAGGTTTCTCCTGCTTTCAGCGTTCGACAGTCTCGACTCGGTAAATCTAAAATCCTATAGTTATAGCTACGTGCCTGATCTGAACTTATCCGTGCGGTAAACGTAGTGTAAGAAAATTAAAAATCGCTTGACTAGAATGCAACCTTATAAGCTTGTGATGTAAAATTTCGTAGTATAAAACAAAAACCGATACAGTAAATAAAAACGTCTTGAAGATATGGACAAAAGAACACGTAATTTTAATGGTTATATTTTGATATTATATCAATCTGACGATCAAGGACCTCCCCCCAAATAAAAATATACATGAAAAGATTTCTCAATTCTGATTGGCTAAGAGCAATGCAATTTTATCGCAATACAACGCCAAGAAAGAAGTACATGACAAGCGCCAAAACAAAAGACATTTTGAACAAAGTTTTGACTTTTGAAAACTTGTTCCTGAAGTCAAGTTTGTTGTGCCAGTCAGATGAGTGAGTAAATGATATATTTCGCATCAACCTCGTTCCCAGGGTCTTTCTCAAAACGAACGAGGTTGATTTCGCACGTGTTCGGTGACCATGAATTTGCTTCTGCATAATTTTTTCATGTATATTATTATAATAAGTATATAGCGGTACGGTTTCCCGTGCAATTTGGAAAAAACTTACACTGGTGAGTTTTTCAAAGACTTCAAATTGCACTCGACCTTCGGACTTTCGCAAAGTCCGTCTTCTTTTTTTAATTAATTAAGGGGTTTAGGATGGGGACAGAAGGGAGGAGGAAAAATTCAAAATAGAGAAATCGACTTGTGACAAGTCTAGCGTTTTCCAAATTGCACTCGAAACCATATTATTACCAGTGGTGTCAAGTAACGAAGTAAATGTACTTCGTTACTGTACTTGAGTACTATTTTTGAGAAGTCGGCATGTTATTGTAACAAAGTAAAGTTTTTCTGGAGTACTTTTACTTGGAACGAAGTCGTTTTAAGAAGTAACGTTTTACTTCGCTATTTTCATTTTGTGGCGAAGTATTTCATTACTTTCTAACTTTTGTCTCTGACTTTTGTTTAATTTTACGTGATTTATTCCTGATTTATTTTAATTTTGGGATAGGTAATAGGACCTCTACATGCGTCTGGGATCTCTCGTTTGTGGCTTACTTATAAGCGTTAATTATTTAATGGATTTCTTATATATTCAACGGGGTCGATCTGGAAAGTAGACGGTGTAGACCATGCCGTGAAATATCGTATATTATAGGTTCACGCATATAATACGTGTGCCGGTTTGTGTCTTGTATGTCAATCCATTGGAGAACTCCCCCTACCAGTTAGAGACAATAATACTTTTTACTTCAAGTAATTTTAAGGATACTTTGTACTTTTACTTAAGTACGTTTTGCCTCCAGTATTTTTTACTCTTACTCAAATAATTTTATTGTTAATTACTTCTACTTTTATAAATTCAAAGTAATTTAGCCAGGCACCACTGACTATTACCCATCCAAACATCAACGCACAAGCATTTACTTCACCGAGTGTCTTTTTCATCGTCGTTGTAATAGTGAACCTTGACCTACATGCGTGAATATTACTTGCTTATTATGGGAGCAATTAAAGACAACATTGAATCTTGGGGGTTAACTTTATTTACGCTGTTAAAACGCTGCGTCGTTTGGAAAACATCACCGTTGGAGGTCGCATGTCGCGTGAAGAATGTTGCGCACTTATCACGCGATGAGCGCGATGTATGATAATGTACGTATCTCGCTGCGCGCGCTCTGGTCGAACAGCGCGGGAGAGCAATGATGCACACAGGGTAGCGCTAAACAAATCAACAAAACGAGTCGCGCTGTCAAAAGGTCATAAGAAAGCTGTTGTGTAAAATTAGTTAATGACAGAGCTTATACTATTGTCTGTAGAACTTGAATCGACACAATAAAGGGGTCTGATATGTTACCACGCTGAGATAATGTCGAAAGCATCATGAGGTTATCCAGTGTATACAAATATCCATTTTATCCAAGAACAATAATCACATTCTATTTAATAATCTCTCAACTTTAGTATTCAAATTTTCGAGACAATTTGAAACAATTTGTGAATTAGGTCACTCGTATCCGGCATACTAATTAGTATTATTTGTGTTTTGGTTTGTATTTGTTGTTTTTGTTGCTGTTATTATTGTTGTTCTTTCCAAGTAATTATACACTTATTTGTACATTAAATTTGGTATATTCGACTGTAGAAAAGCAGTCGAAAGTGTTCTGCCCAACTTTGATTATGTCGTAAAAGCTGAACAATTAATGACAGTTCCTAAGCATCATTAATATTTCATTACATAATTCACATAAACGTACCGTTGGTCTGAACACACAAGTGGGTCCTAAAAGTTTCCATCAATGTAAAGTATTTGCTATTGAGGCGGTCACCATGGAAACAATGACGTGAGCAAATAGTTTCACAGCAATTGGCCTCTTTATCCCCCATTTATCCGTGGCGTGAATATAATTTGAATGAGCCATCTTTTAACGCTCTCCTTGTGATTATGTTCGAAACATGAAAAGGTCGATCTGACCAGGGAGGGGCAAAACCATTAATTTGAACACATGGGAACAACATGATTGTAAATTAGTGAAAAGTTATTTTAGATTGCTGTGGTATGCGTTGACATGTTGCCGCATATTTTTGGCAAACAATTTCAGATATTGGGGTGTTGGTGATAGCAGTGTTTATTATAAAAGGGTCTGCAGAACGGAGGTCTTATTTCCATTTTCCTCCTCATTTTTTCTCCATATCCCAATTTCCAATCCCAAATGTGAAATTGAAGGAATACACCAGAGTAGCTATTTCATCTTTTTGTTGACTTGGAAACGCAATTCTGCGTTCATGATCTGTTTTGAACTAGTTTTGGCGAGTAAGGGGTTCGAAGTCTATAAATATCTATCGCTTTCTACAAATAAATATACTTAGTAACATGCCAATACTCCCAATACACTTGTATAACGGGCCAAGCCCACCATGTATAATTGTAACGGTCCCAGAAACACACATCCTATTGCAAAATTAGGCAGTTTCCATTTTACCCTTTCAGTTTAGGATCTTGATATAATATTCGGCCATTTTCCGAGCAAAACGCCAATATCCAATATATATATATATATATAAACGCCGTCTACTGGTTGCTCGGCACGGACATTATGGTCGATGATTTTGCCACATTAATTTGAATAACTCACTAATCCGTTATTTATGATCCACTAATCCGTTATTCATGATCCACTAATCCGTTATTCATGATCCACTAGTCCTAGGCTGCGACGAGCTGCGACAAGTTTTACATTGTCCTGGCAAATACCTATCACGGAATTGTCATGTAATACTTCTTTTCAAGAATAAAAAATGTAAAAAGACGGCAAAGCCGTATTTTTTGGTGTAAATGTTGTGGGAGGTCAATGTGTAGTACTGGGACTACTGGATACGAGGTTGTGAGAGATGGAAAGAAATTTCGGGAAAATGCGGTGGTGTGCACCCCAACCTCCATGGGTAGTTACTATAACACATACCCCCATGTAATGTACATGTGGGCCTCTCGGGGGGGGGGGCAAACTGGTGAATTTCCCCCCAGGGTAATGGGGACTCCTAATAACAATTTTGTGAATAAAGTATACTGTCAAATAGTCTCTCAGGAGCGAAATTTGCATTTTCCCCAGGTGCCTAAAAAGCTCTGGGCGGCCCCGAAAGGCTGAAACTTTGCACTATCCTTGAGATCTAGTTTCCGCTAATCCGTCATTCATTATCCGCCAACCGCGTTTGCCGTCATTTGTTCACGTGGGGTTTTAGAAATTTGAAAACAAGGCGACGACAAGTATACAATGTTTAGCACAATGTTATATGACAAAACACACACAGTGAGTTTTTTCCTCTGCTTGAACATGTCTAGCACGGCAGGTATTGAAAGAGGTTCCTGCTGTTTAAACATCAGTCTCGCAACGTTTATTGTGTTGATTCATTGCAAGACATTAAATTGTTACCTCTCAGACTCGATCAGTAGATGCATGTTGACGTAATAATTTATAGACTATTATATATTTTATATATTTTGTTATTGTGTGCTTTTAAAGCACTCACTCACTTAGTTTTAGTAATACCTGTATTTTTAACTACATTTTAGACTTTTTTAAAAACGAAAATTGTGGAAAAAATTAAGGCTATAGCCTTAACTTTTCGTACATTTTCACCCACTTTTTCCATTTTTGAAAAAAGGTCGAAAATTGGCCAAAAAGTAAGGCTATAGCCTTAACTTCTCGTCCATTTTCACCCACTTTCTGCATTTTTGAAAAAGGGCGAAAATTGCCCAAAAGGTAAGTGTATAGTCTTAATTTTCCTCTACTTTCAGCCACTTTTTCTATTTTTGAGAAAGGAAGAAAATCGGCCAAAAAGTAAGCCTATCGAAAGCCTATCGACTGTTGATTCCATTAATACAATTTTGAGGCTGGCCCCAACTCAAGTCTGTTTCTAAACGGACCTTGAAATTCAATAGAACATAAGGTTCGAAACAGCATCATTAACTTTCGCGTCTTTTTCGATTACACATGCAGGTGGTAAAACCGAATTCTTTTCCAGTCCACCAATAAGGCATCAACAGAAAGCCTATAAACCAAAGATTCCAACAATACAATTTTCAGACTGGCGTAAATTCACGTTTCTGCTAGAGCGGCCTTGAAATTCAATGGAAATTAAAACGAAAAGTTAGGACTATAGCCTTAACTTTTCGTCCAATTTTAGGCACTTTTCTATTTTTGAAAAAGGGCGGGAATACGCCTAAAAAGTAAGACTATATATAGCCTTAACTTTTCGTCCATTTTCACCAACTTTTTCCATTTTTGGAAAAAGGTCAAAAATTGGCCAAAAAGTAAGTGTATAGTCTTAACTTTTCGTCCATTTTCAGCCACTCTTTCCACTCATGATCTGTTTAACCAAAGCCTATGGACAGTTGATTCCATTAATACAATTTTGAGGCCGGCCCAAATTCAAGTCTTTGCTACACGGACCTTGAAATTCAATAGAACATAAGGTTCGAAACGGCATAATATTAACTTTCGCGTCTTTTTCGATTGCACATGCAGCTAGAAAAACCGAATTTTTATGTTTACATTCGTCCAGTGATGCACGAGTAAGGCATCAGCAGAAAGCCATTGGACAGTAGATGTTAAAAATGCCATTTTTAGACCGTGAACAATTCACGTCTTTGCTACACGGACCTTGAAATTCAATAGAACATAAGGTTCGAAACAGCATAATATTAACTTTCGCATCTTTTGCAATTACACATGTAGGAGCTAAAACCAAATTGGTTTGTGCACCAATAAGCCATCAACACAAAGCCTAATAACCGAAGATTCCAACAACACAATTTTTAGACTGGCGTAAATTCATGTTTCTGCTAGGCGAGCCTTGAAATTCAATGGAAATTAAAACGAAAAGTTAGGAATATAGCCTTAACTTTTCGTCCATTGTTAGGCATTTTTCCATTTTTGAAAAAGGGCGGGAATTCGGCCAGAAAGTAAGGCTATAGCCTTAACTTTTCGTCCATTTTCACCCACTTTTACCATTTTTGAAAAAAGGTCAAAAATCAGTGGCCAAAAAGAAAGGCTATAGCCTTAACTTGTCGTCCATTTTCTCCCACTTTCTCCATCTTTGAAAAAGGGCAAAAACTGCCCAAAATGTAAGTGTATTGTCTTAACTTTTCGTCCATTTTCAGCCCTTCATTCCATTTTTGGTAAAGGTAGCTAATCGGCCAAAAAGTAAGTCTAACGAAAGCCTATGGACAGTTGATTCCATTAACACAATTTTGAGGCTGGCCCTAATTCAAGTCTGTGCTACACGGACCTTGAAATTCAATAGAACATAAGGTTCGAAACGGCATAATATTAACTTTCGCGTCTTTTTCGATTACACATGCAGCTAGAAAAACCGAATTTTTATGTCGACATTCGTCAAGTGATGCACGAGTAAGGCATCAGCAGAATGCAATTGGACAGTAGATGCCAAAAATACAATTTTTAGACCGTGGCAAATTCACGTCTTTGCTACACGGACCTTGAAATTCAATGGAAATTAAAACGAAAAGTTAGGAATATAGCCTTAACTTTTCGTCCATTTTTAGGCATTTTCCATTTTTGAAAAAGGGCGGAAATTCGGCCAAAAAGTAAGGCTATAGCCTTAAATTTTCGTCCATTTTCACCCACTTTTACCATTTTTGAAAAAGGTCAAAAATTGCCCGAAAAATAAGTGTATAGTCTTAACTTTTCGTCCATTTTCAGCCCTTCTTTCCATTTTTGGTAAAGGTAGCTAATCGGCCAAAAAGTAAGTCTAACGAAAGCCTATGGACAGTTGATTCCATTAATACAATTTTGAGGCTGGCCCTAATTCAAGTCTGTGCTACACGGACCTTGAAATTCAATAGAACATAAGGTTCGAAACGGCATAATATTAACTTTCGCGTCTTTTTCGATTACACATGCAGCTACAAAAACCGAATTTTTATGTCTACATTCGTCAAGTGATGCACGAGTAAGGCATCAGCAGAAAGCAATTGGACAGTAGATGCCAAAAATACAATTTTTAGACCGTGGCAAATTCACGTCTTTGCTACACGGACCTTGAAATTCAATGGAAATTAAAACGAAAAGTTAGGAATATAGCCTTAACTTTTCGTCCATTTTTAGGCATTTTCCATTTTTGAAAAAGGGCGGGAATTCGGCCAAAAAGTAAGGCTATAGCCTTAACTTTTCGTCCATTTTCACCCACTTTTACCATTTTTGAAAAAGGTCAAAAATTGCCCGAAAAATAAGTGTATAGTCTTAACTTTTCGTCCATTTTCAGCCCTTCTTTCCATTTTTGGTAAAGGTAGCTAATCGGCCAAAAAGTAAGTCTAACGAAAGCCTATGGACAGTTGATTCCATTAATACAATTTTGAGGCTGGCCCTAATTCAAGTCGGTGCTACACGGACCTTGAAATTCAATAGAACATAAGGTTCGAAACGGCATAATATTAACTTTCGCGTCTTTTTCGATTACACATGCAGCTAGAAAAACCGAATTTTTATGTCTACATTCGTCAAGTGATGCACGAGTAAGGCATCAGCACAAAGCCATTGGACAGTAGATGCCAAAAATACAATTTTTAGACCGTGACAAATTCACGTCTTTGCTACACGGACCTTGAAATTCAATAGAACATAAGGTTCGAAACAGCATAATATTAACTTTCGCGTCTTTTTCGATTACACATGCAGGTGGTAAAACCCAATTCTTTTGTCCACCAATAAGGCATCAACAGAAAGCCTATAAACCGAAGATTCCAAGAATACAATTTTCAGACTGGCGTAAATTCACGTTTCTGCTAGAGGGGCCCTGAAATTCAATGGAAATTAAAACGAAAAGTTAGGACTATAGCCTTAACTTTTCGTCCAATTTTAGGCACTTTTCTATTTTTGAAAAAGGGCGGGAATTCGCCTAAAAAGTAAGACTATAGCCTTAACTTTTCGTCCATTTTCACCAACTTTTTCCATTTTTGGAAAAAGGTCAAAAATTGGCCAAAAAGTAAGCCTTAACTTTTCGTCCATTTTCGTCCACTTTTTCTATTTTTGGATAAAGGACGATCAGAAAAAGTTATCGACCATTTTCACACACTTTTCCATTTTATGAAAAAAGGTCGAAAATTGGCCAGAAAGTAAGGCTACAGCCTTAACTTTTCGTACATTTTCACACACTTTTTCCATTTTTGAAAAATTGTCGAAAATTGGCCAAAAGTAAGTGTATAGTCTTAACCTTTCGTCCATTTTCAGCCACTATTTCCATTTATGGTAAAGGTGGATAATCGGCCAAAAAGTAAGTCTAACGAAAGCCTATGGACAGTTGATTCCATTAATACAATTTTGAGGCTGGCCCAAATTCAAGTCGGTGCTACACGGACCTTGAAATTCAATAGAACATAAGGTTCGAATCAGCATAATATTAACTTTCGCGTCTTTTGAGATTACACATGCAGCTAGAAAAACCGAATATTTATGTCTACATTCGTCAAGTGATGCACGAGTAAGGCATCAGCAGAAAGCCATTGGAAAGTAGATGCCAAAAATGCCATTTTCAGACCGTGACAAATTCACGTCTTTGCTACACGGACCTTGAAATTCAATAGAAAATAAGGTTCGAAACAGCATAATAATAACTTTCGCGTCCTTTTCGATTACACATGCAGCTAGAAAAACCGAATTTTTATGTCTACATTCGTCAAGTGATGCACGAGTAAGGCATCAGCATAAAGCCATTGGGCAGTAGATGCCAAAAATGCCATTTTCAGACCGTGAAAAATTCAGGTCTTTGCTACACGGACCTTGAAATTCAATAGAACATAAGGTTCGAAACAGCATAATATTAACTTTCCCGTCTTTTTCGATTACACATGCAGCTAGAAAAACCGAATTTTTATGTCTACATTCGTCAAGTGATGCACGAGTAAGGCATCAGCAGAAAGCAATTGGACAGTAGATGCCAAAAATACAATTTTTAGACCGTGGCAAATTCACGTCTTTGCTACACGGACCTTGAAATTCAATGGAAATTAAAACGAAAAGTTAGGAATATAGCCTTAACTTTTCGTCCATTTTTAGGCATTTTCCATTTTTGAAAAAGGGCGGAAATTCGGCCAAAAAGTAAGGCTATAGCCTTAAATTTTCGTCCATTTTCACCCACTTTTACCATTTTTGAAAAAGGTCAAAAATTGCCCGAAAAATAAGTGTATAGTCTTAACTTTTCGTCCATTTTCAGCCCTTCTTTCCATTTTTGGTAAAGGTAGCTAATCGGCCAAAAAGTAAGTCTAACGAAAGCCTATGGACAGTTGATTCCATTAATACAATTTTGAGGCTGGCCCTAATTCAAGTCTGTGCTACACGGACCTTGAAATTCAATAGAACATAAGGTTCGAAACGGCATAATATTAACGTTCGCGTCTTCTTCGATTACACATGCAGCTAGAAAAACCGAATTTTTATGTCTACATTCGTCAAGTGATGCACGAGTAAGGCATCAGCAGAAAGCAATTGGACAGTAGATGCCAAAAATACAATTTTTAGACCGTGGCAAATTCACGTCTTTGCTACAGGGACCTTGAAATTCAATAGAACATAAGGTTCGAAACAGCATAATATTAACTTTCGCGTCCTTTTCGATTACACATGCAGGTAGAAAAACCGAATTTTTATGTCTACATTCGTCAAGTGATGCACGAGTATG